GCAACAGTTATCTTGAAGTTGGGGGTAAGTATTTCTGGCATCATGCCTTTATTTGGAAAGCTTGACTCCTTTGATCCTGCTGTTGAAGACTGGGCCCAGTATGCAGAAAGAGTGTGATTTTTTTTTTTTTTTTTTTCTCTGGGCAAATGATATTGGGGCAGATGAAAAGCAACAAGTAATCCTTCTGACTCCTTGCAGACCCATAGCATTCATAGTTATCAGGAGCTTAACTTGCCCAGAGGCACCAGACACTAAAACCTTCTGAGACTTGGAGTTGGTTAAGGAATATTACAACTCCAAACCTCCCCTAATTCTGAGATGCTATTGATTTTGTCCAGCTGTTACAGATTCCCCTGGTTCTCTGTTGGAATTTTTTACAAGGTTATGACTACTGGCAGAAGCATGAGATTTTGGATTAACACGAATGAGATGCTGAGACATGGTTTGGTATGTGGGATTAATGACGTGACCATGCGGAAGCACCTACTTGCTGCAGCCCAACTAGACTTAAAACAGGCACTACAACTGGTGTTGTCTCTGGAAAATGCGGCAAATGGATCACGGGAACTACAGGGCATTCCAGTGGAACTGAACTCCCTCACCCCTCTGGCTGAGCTTGAGGGACACCACTTGAGTGTAGGCAATGGCCCAGCCTCATGCACGGCATATCCTGAGCCCAGACAACCTAGGCCAGCCCACAGAAGAACCCCACAACAAAGCCAAGCCTCAGTCATGTATCTAAAAAGTTCTTCAAGCTCAGTCAAAGAGGTGAAGGAGTCCACTTCCATTGGGATACCTTGTAGGTCCCTTGCTCCACTGAAATAACTGCACAGAAGCTGGTATCCAATCACCAAGTCACCCTTTATTTACTTGTGCACAGTACACTGGCTGTGGCCAGCCAGCTCAGAGTCAGTCGCCTGAAATGAGAAGATTCTAATCTCCTTGTTATATTGGTCAGCCAGGGCTTTCCTGATTGACTAGGATTATCAACCTGGTTCCAATTACTACACCCCTCCCCCACTAAGTCTGGGGATGTTGGCCTGGTCTTTGGCTTGTAGGTTTTCTTGCGACGTTTTCACTCTAGGTCCAAGTCCTCTGAATTGGACTCTGACACAGGCAGCATGTACCAGACCGTAGCCTGCCTCTTGTGTCTGGATCGTTGAGGGAGAGCTTCCTCTTCTGATGGTAACCGTATCAAGGCTGCATCTATCTTGGACTCTGAGGCTTGCTTGACACTAGACAGAGGGGGAGAATGTATTGTTTCCGACAGGCCTTCAGGCTGTTCTGAGGGGCCAGGTATGTTTTGCTCCTGCCCCGTTTGTGAGGTAACAGCTTTCAGTGATCCACGTGTTTGTTCAGGACTGTATCACCCACCCGAACTTTGTAAGTCACAGGACCTGACCTCACGTCAGTCTCTCCTCATACCTGTACTCCGCTATTTCCATGGTTCCAGCACCAAACTTTGTCCCCTGAATTAACTTGTCTCTCTCGCTTGGAGACAGCATGTGGCTGGCATTGATGTTCCTGCTGCCATTTCAAATAGTGAATCGGGCTGTTAATTAAATGGAGATATTGCAGAGCCCTGTTCAAACAAATCCTAGCAAGTTAGCATACTTGTGTACTGCAAGTAATTAGGAAAGCAAATGGCGTGGTATTTCCTCAATGAGAATGGAATATAAACGTCAGTATAGTAAAACTAAGAGCTGCGTACGCTGAGAGTGTGAAACAAACAAATTGCTGGAGAAACCCCGTAGATCTGGAAACATCTGGAGAGAAAGTAAAGTTAATGTTTTGAGTTCAGTGGCTCCTCTTCAGAACTGATAGTAGGAAAAGGTGATACTTATGCTGATGACGGTGTGAGGGGGCAAGAGGAATGAGTGAATAGGTGGCGACAGAGCCCAGAAAGAGTGTGTTAGGCTAACAAAGGGATGGTTGAAAGTAAGTTGGGGGAAGGAGAAAAGCTGATATTGGGGACAGTGAGCAGCTGAAGATGAGTTGGTTGTGCTGAAAATAGCCCATGTGATGACAGAGTTTGGTGTGTGGGGTTTGGTAAAGACATGGAAGCAGGTGTTCAGACCCTAACATGTCTGAACTGAACATTGAGTCCAGAAGGCTGTAGGATCCCCAAGTGAAAAATGAAACACTGTTCTTCCAGCTTGCACTCAGCTTCGCTGTAGCGCTGCAGTGGCTCGAGACAGATGTAGGCCAGGGAGCTTGGTGATGTGCTGACCTGACAGGCAGTTGGAAACCTGGGGTCATTTTTCACATTCAGAAGTGTTCTGCAAAGCATTCACCCAATCTGCGTTTCATTTCCCCAGCGTAGAGGATACCACACTATGTGCAGCTTTGCGTGCACTATGTGAATAAAGTAGACTAGATTGAGTGAAGTGCAGGCAAATTGTTGCTTCACCCGGAAGGTGTGACAATAGCCTTGGATAGTGAGGAGGGAGAAGTTAAATGGGTAAGTGTTGCACCTTCTACAATTGCAAGGGAAGATGCTGTGGGGATGTGGGTACGTGTTATGAGTGAAGGAGAAGTGGACCCAGGATGTCCTGAAGGGAATGGTCCCTGTAACACGGTAGACGGGAGGGGAATGTGTCTGGCGGTGGCATCCTGCTGGAAGTGGTGTAAGTGGCAACTTATGATCCTTTGGACGTGGACGCTGAAAGAGTCGAAAGTGAGGACTGGGGTAGTCTGTCTGTGTTGTGGGAGGGAAGAGAAGGTGGCAGCAGTGCGGGAAATGGGGCTAACACAGCTAAGGGCCCTGCCAACCAGAGTGGTGGGGAACTGTCCATTGAGGAAAAATGTAGATGTTTCTGAGGCCCCCTGCATGAGGTGGCATTATCAGAACAGATGCGATGAAGACAGAAAATCAGCGAGAACGGAATGGAGTCTTTACAGGAAGAAAGGTGCGAAGATGTAAAGTCCAGGGAACTGTGTGAGTCAGTGGACTTGTGGTGGATATTGGTGGCCAACCTATTCCCAGGTTTTGGAGTAGATTTGTGGCTCGGGTTGTGGGTGTTGAGGTTGGTTGGCTCGCCGAGCTGGTTTATTGTTCCACAGACGTTTCGTTACCCTGCTGGGTAACATCCTCCGTGCAGCCTCCGATGAAGCATCGGTGTGTTTTCCCGTCTGGTTTTTAAACTCGGGTCCGTTGAGCTGGATTGCCTGACTTCCGGTTTTCCTTCGTAGTGGAGTGTATATGGGGTCGGGTTCTGTGTGTTTATTAATGGCTTTCTTCGTGGAGTGCCAGGCTTCCAGGAATTCCCGTGCCTGTCTCTGCTTAGCTTGTCCCAGGATTTTGGTGTTGTCCCAGTCGAATTGGTGGTTCTCCTTATCCATGTGGATTGAGATGAGTGAAACACTACATCAGACAAACAGGAAGAAAACGCACAACAAGGGTACACAAACACCAACTGGCTACAACAAGACACGACCAATACTCACTCATCTCAATCCACATGGATAAGGAGAACCACCAATTCGACTGGGACAACACCAAAATCCTGGGACAAGCTAAGCAGAGACAGGCACGGGAATTCCTGGAAACCTGGCACTCCACGAAGAAAGCCATTAATAAACACACAGAACTCGACCCCATTTACACTCCACTACGAAGGAAAACCGGCAGTCAGGCAATCCAGCTCAACGGACTCCAGAGTTTAAAAACCAGGCGGGAAAACACACCGATGCTTCGTCGGAGGCTGCACTGAGGACGTTACCCAGCAGGGTAATGAAACGTCTGCGGAACAACAAACCAGCTCGGCGAGCCAACCAACCTCAACTACTCCCACAATGGAAACAGATGTCGAAGAAGGAAATGGAGGAGTCCGATTATGGACCAGGTGAAGGTGAGAGTGGAGTGGAAATTGGAAGTGAAATTGATAAATTCTTCCAATTCTGAATTACTTAGCAGAGGACAAAAAACTAATAGCTTAACAAATCCAGCATCCATAGATCCCTGAAGGCAGTAGGACATGTAAATAAGGTGGTTGAGAGGGCATATGGGTTACTTGCTTTTATTAGTCAAGGCATTCAATACAAGAGCAAAGAGATTTATGATAGAGCTGTATATGTCAGTTAGGCCACTACAGGAGAACTCTGTGCAGTTCTGGTCACCATGTCCTTCCCATAGAACAGATGCACTGAAGATAATGAAAAGGAGATTCACCAGGATATTGCTGGTGCTGCACCAATTCAACTACGAAGAGAGACTAGATAGACTGGGCTTGTTTTGCCTAGAACAGAGGAAAGCGGAAGGCGTGATCTGATTGATTGATTGAAGTGTACAAACGTTTGAGGGACAAAGATGGGGAGAAACGATTCTCCTTAGCAAAGGGGTCAATAACCAGGGGGGTAAGGTTTTAAGGTGAGGAGCAAAAGGTTTTGAGGGAATTGAGGAGCATTTTTCACCAAAAGGGTTATAGCTCTCAGGAACCCCAAAGTCTAAAGGGGTGGTGGGGTCAGGAACCATCAAGACATTTAAGAAGTATTTAGAGGAGCACTTGAAGCATACATGCCAAGTGCTCTAAATGGGATTAGAATAGATGCTCTTTTGAGTGCAGACATGATGGCCCAAAGGGCCATTTTTCCATGCTGTAAAAATTATATGACTAAGGAAAGGTGAAAGAACCCAAGATTCTTCAGAAAAGCCAGTAGGGAAGTTATGGAAGTTTTCATGTCTGTCTGAGATCGATGAACTGAACCTAAAAATGTGTTTGAGGTTGACCCATATTTGAGGAGGTGGTCTCACTCTCCAAAGAGAGAAGGGCACAGTCAGTTCAGATTAAGAGCAAATTTGGAAGATTTCAGAGGAGAATTGGAAATGATATTAGGAATAGTATACACAGCTTGCATTAGTTCATTTATTGATGTTTGTGAATAATTTGAATCTTGAATTAAATTCTTCAACTGAAATCTCTTGTTTTGACTCTATCTCGTCTATTCCTCTGAGGGAAAATAACCCTCTTCTGATTCATTATTTTTCTTCCATTTTCCAGGGGATGAATTTCATTGCTGGTTATTTACTTATAGTGACCAAGGATGAAGAGAAGTCCTTCTGGTTGTTAGATGCCCTGATTGCAAAGATAGTACCGGGTATGTCAGCTGTGAATTTGTTGTTGTACGTTGCAATGATGCAGGTATTCCTGAAGCAGTATCTCTCTGTACTTTACATATGTTACAGCTACTTTGGAACCCTGTTTAAATGCTTTCATGGGTCAGTTAGGCAATATAGTAAAGAAGTCTTCCCCTCTGGCACCATAACATTGCATAACTTACATTGTACCCAAAATGAACTCGGAACGGGAAGAGGTGAAAGGAAATATATGGCATTGTTTTTTCAGTTTGCAGTTTGCTTTAGCTGTTTGAGATTTCATTTTCTATATCCATCTCCTACTGGGGGCTGGATATTTACACTGCAACAGCTGAGTTCCTATGTCAGTGCCTGAAAAGCGAGGCCAACAGCTCCGCTGTCCCGAGTTTACAGACTGTACAATGTTGAAAGGAAATGCAACCCAAGCCACTGAATATCATTTAATGTAGATGAGAGTAAAGTCATGAGTTTGGATTACATAATAAACAGTGGCCATTTGGAAGAGTATGGGTGGGCACAATCTTAAAATAACAGGCAATCATTTAGGACTGAGATGAGGAGCAATTATTTAATTATGAATCTCTGGAATTCTCTACCCCAGAGGGTTGTGGATGCTTCACCATTGAATACTTTTAAGTTTGGGATAGACAGAATCTTACCATTTATTTTGTATTACCTTCCCTATATATTCCCTCACCAAATGTATGTTCTGACACTTCTCCAAACTGAAATGCATTTGCCAATTGTCCATTGATAGTTTCCTGCAGTTTACAGTTTTCTTCCTCTTTGACAACCATGTGGAACATCGGTAACAATGGGACTTAAGGTTATTAGGGGAATTGGGAACTTATCCAGTACAAACTGGGATTAAAGTTGATTTGATCAAGGCCAATACACTGTAAGGTATTTGCATGCAATGACTGATTGGAGCCCATGTCACAGGGTATTGCAACCTCTTTCATTCACAATTGATGTAATACTCAAGTTATTTCCATAGTACATGACTAAAATTAGCAGCAGCAGCAGAAGGTTTTCCAAATCCACGGCTGTAAGAAAGACTAGGAACTATGAAAGTCCAAAAGATTGATGGGTATTGTACCCAATTGCTCTTTGTGTGTAACAGGAACCCAAACAACTGTATTACGCTAATGTCAAATGGGGTGGTGCGGGAGGAGGTCTCACTTTATAAATATTGGAGGTTGGATGCTGTTCCATATTTCACTGTAATATCTATTAAAAATATTCCCTGCAGATGGTCCTGGGTATGTGCATGAATTATGTCCTTGTGTGTCTGTCAGCATGGACAACTTGGACTGAAAGGCCTGTTCCTGTGCTGTACATCTGTGACTCTGACTCTGAGTCTATGAATAAATAAGATTCACCTTTTGTAATGCTTTTTAGACATGATCTTAAACTTGTCTGACAGGTGTGTTGGAGATGATCTTGCTCAATTCATATGAGATAGTGATCAAGAGAAAAAACTCAAAATGATTACCTCTTTTAATTAGTTCAGGATTATTGAAACCCCTTTCAGTATCTTGACTGTTAGCTCAACATAGACTTGGTAAAGGACCAGGACTATGGATGGAAGCAGTACTTTTCATTAATATTCAGTAAATATGATGAATACCCCTGCATGCCACATCATTGAGTACTTTGACCAAGATTGTTTAACCATACTTCCATATATGTGTTTCTAGGGGAATGTTGTTTACTTTGTGGATCATGTAGTTTATGTCATGTTGTGTAGGTTAGTAAAGACTTGTGTGCATTGCACAAGAGGGAGCTTCTACTTCTAAAGAAATTTTCCTGATTCTATGACAAATTGATTAAACTCGGACATATAATGTATACTAAAAATAATGAAAGAAATGGCAGAAACATTGAACAGGTATTTTGTGTATGTCTTCACTGAGAGAAGACTTAGAAAACTGGTCGAAGGTAATTGAAGATTAAGACTGTAAGGCAGGGAGAAACTTCAAACAACTGTCATCTTCAGGAAAAGGTATTAGAAATATTTGAAGGCTGACAAGTCTCCAGGACCAATGACCTGCATTCTAGAGTCTTAAGAGAAGTGGCTGCAAATGTAGTGTAGGCATTGGTAATAATCTTCCGAAATTATTTAGATCTGGAAGGGTCCCAGCAGATTGGAAAATGACAAATGTAACCGCTTTATTGAAGAAAGAAGGGAGACCGAAGCAAAATACCATAGGCCCACTAGCCAACACGTCATGTGGAAATTTCTAATTTCCATTATTAAGGAGGTTAATCATAGTAGATCAGGAAAAGTGAGGATGGTTTTATGAAAAGGAATTTGTTTGATTAATTTATTGGAGTTATTTGAGGAAGAAACAAGTGCTGTGGATAAAGGGGAAACTGCAATGTGGTGACCTAGGATTACCAAAAGAGATTTAATAAGTTGTTGCACCTAAGGTTACTTTTTACATCAGAATAAAATGATTAGACAAGTAGGCTGCAACATACTGTATGAATAAAGCACAAAGGAAGCAGAAACTAAGCAGGAACAGAACTTTTTAGGGTTGGCAAACTGTGTAGCCAATAAAATACTACTGGAATCAATGCTAAGACCTCAGCTATTTATGATCTTCATTAATAAATTGAATGAAGGGACCAGATATAGACCAGAGTAACTAAATGTGTTCATGACACCAACATTGGTACAAAATTAAGTCATCAAGAGCAAGTAGAGTATATGCAAAGGGATATAGGTAGGTTAAGTGAGTGGACAAAAATTTGGCTGATAAAGTTTAATGTGGGAAAATACTGACTTGTCCACTTGGACAGGATAAATCAAAAAACTGTTAAAGTGAAGAGAGATTGCAGAACTCAGTGGTACAGAGGGTTCTGAGTGCCCTGGTACACAAATCTCAAAGTTAGAATTGAGACACAGCAAGTGAATAGGAAGGCAGATGGAATGTTGGCATTTATTCCAAGAGGAATGAAATATAAAAGTAGGGTAGTTTTGTTGCAGCTGTAGAGGGCCTTTGCTGAGATCACATCTGTTATATTATGTACAATGTTGGTGTTCTTATTTGAAAAAAGGTTATAATTAGAATAGAAGTGGTTCTGAGAAAGTTCCCCTCCACTTATTCATGGGATGAATGGTTTATCTTTTGTGAAGAAAAGTTGAGTTTACATCTGTTTAAGTTTAGAAGAATTGGAGCTGATCTTGTTGAAACATAGAAGATCCTCAGGGCAATTGATAGGATGGATACCAGCAGGACAGATACAATCATAGAATCCCTACAGTTTGGAAACAAGCCTCTGAAGAGTGTCCCAGCCAGACTCCATTCCCCTACTCTTTCCCTGTGACCCTGCAATTCCCATGGCTAACGCACCTAATATACACATCCCTGAACACTATGGGCAATTTAACATGGCCAATCCATGTAGCCTGCACATCTTTGGACTGAGAGGAAACCAGAGCACCTGGCGGAAACCCATGCAGACACTGGGAGAACATGCAACCTCCACATAGACAGTCGCCTGAGGATGGAATCGAATCTGGGTCCCTGGCACTGTGGGGCAGCAGTGCTAACCACTGTGCCGCCCCCTTCTTGTGGGGTAAGTTAGAACTAGGAGACATAAGAACAATCATAGGCCAATCAGATTTCCCCCCCCCCACCCCAGGCAATGGGCCTGCTCAACCATTCAATGAGATCATGGCTAATGTGATCTAACTCCATATACCTGCCTTTGGCCTGTATCCCTCAAAATTTTTGCTTAACAAGAATTTGTTTATCTCCGGACTTAAAATTAACAACTAATCTAGCTTCAACTGCCGTTTGTCGAACAGAGTTCCAAAACTCTACCATCCTTTGTGTGTAGAAATGCCTTCTAAACATCACTCTTGAATGTCTGGCCCTAATTTCGAAGACTATGCCCCTGAGTTCTAGAGTCTCCAACCAGTAGAAATTAGTTTATCTCAACTACCTTGTCTTTTCCTGTTAATGTCTTGAAGACCAGATCACTCTTTTAACCTCCTAAATTCTAGAGAAAACAACCCTAATTTGAATAGTCTCTCCCTATAAATTAACTCCTACATTGCACTCCCTCCAAGCTTAATATACCCTTCCTAATGTGTGGTACCCAGATCTGCTCTCAGTACTCCAAGTGGGGTTTAACCAGGGGATACAGTTTAAGAGCAATTTTAAGACCGATAAGACTTTTTCTTGAGGATTGTTAGTCTGTGCAAACTTTTTTTTCTAGAAACCAATGCTGGCTGAATCTTTTGAATTTATCCAAGGCAGAGTTAGGTAGACTTTTGAATGACAAGGGAGTCGAGAGAATGGAGGGGCAGAGAGGAATGTGAGGTTGAGACCACACCTCACATGTTGGAGTGGACTTGAATGGCTGAATGGACTAACCTTGTTCATAAGTCCTGTGTTGCTGACACTTCAATGTACTAAGGCTGAGGATTTCAAAGATTGAAAACATATGAGCATACAAATTAGGAGCAGACCACTCAGCCCCTCGACTTTCTCTGCTATTTAGTGAAATTATGTCTGATCTGATTACTTCACACTCCCCACCAATCCCTGAAAACATTTTGATGATAATCAAGTGCAAAAAACTGCTTAAGATCCCACTTTGCATTTTGGAGCACTGAGAAGTCATGATCCCATTAAGCTGACTTGGCTTGAAGGGCCACTCCTATTTCTATGTTCCTTCCACTTTTGTGTACTTTATTACAGGGAATGTTCCCCTTGACCTCTAAGTACCATGTTGACATGCTGCTGTACTACTAACAGTATCCTAGGTTTATTTTGCAGCTGCTGTAGCTGAAAACACATGGATTAGTTGAATCTGCTGTGAGTATGGACTAACTGACTGCCCTGACTCAGCCGATAACTGCTCAGTAAATCTTGCCCCAATTAGATCTGACAGACCTTGACCTGATTCCTTGGAGTTACGTGGCAGTAAGTAGTTAAGTCGTCTAAGCAAAACTGCAAACAGATTCTCTTAGATCATTTGAAGTACATACCAAAAGCTTAAAAAAAAAACTAACCACAGAAGTGGTACTCTGTCACTTCCAGCTATTGAAATCATTTCTTTGAATTGGCGAAAATATTTTATCACTTGCTTTCTATATTTTATCACTGCACATCAGTTGCAACATTTCTGCAGCTTAAATTTGTCAAGTTGACCTACAAAGATCAGGGACAGTGAGACTTCTCAGTTGCACTAAAATAAACAACAGTAATGAAGGGAGTTCCCATAGTCATGGAGGGATGGGCAGAGTCCCTCTTGGAAGAATCTTGAAATTCAGGTGCTACCATATAGAAATCAATGGGGCATTGAAAGTTCCTCCGATTCAGTTTCAGAAATGTACCAATAGGAGATTTATTGTGTAGCTTTCCACCAGGATTTAGATTCTAGCCAATTTGCTGCAGTTTGTAGGAGTGCATCTCTGGCTGGGAGCTAAACTCTCTTTTTGAATTCTATCGGTAACAGCTCGATCAACGTATTTTCATCAGTTCAAGAACACAGGCTATTCAGCTCCTTGAGCCTTATTATTCATTTACCTCACCAACATTTATGTAACTCTGTTCTTCATCCTTTAATAATTTCACCTAAATAAGTACTCAAGTCTCTGTGCTGAAAACCTGGACTGGAAGATGGTGAAGAACAGGAAACAGAGTGCAATTGAAACTTGTTTGCAAGTCTCAATGCCCCTCAACCCTGTAGCAGCTCTTTCGCTGAAGTCAAATGGTACAGGGCTAACAGGTGAAGAGGAATAGTGATGGGACAACTAAGCTCAGATGCAGACATGACTCTGCAGTCAAGTGACAAGGCACCACAGCACCTGTGGTTAAAGTGAGAATGCTGCTATAGATAGATTATTCTCTCTCACAGTCTATTGCACATGGGTGATCGCAACTATCTTGCAAAGAGGCAACGTGTGTTTTGGGCCACAGCAGACCCATTGTCACTTGATGTGTCAGGTTTATGCAAAATGCTAGCTACAGAAAGTCTGTTTCTCCATTGAAACATAAAGAACCCCTTCCACTTAGAAAATGCCTTTCACAATCTCCGGGAATCCCAAGTGATTTAAGCTTTACTCAATTAAGTATTTTAAAGTATATTCACTGTTATAATGTAGGAAACAAGGAAGCCAATTCGGTCACAGCAAGGTCTCTCAAACAGTAATGCAAAAATAATCTGATGGCCTGTTTCAGTTGGTTAGTTATTGGCCAAGGCATTGAGGGGTAGTCCCCTTCCTTCTCTTTGGAAAGCACCATGGAACTCTCATTCATATCTAGTGGCATTATCTATCATTTCATCCCAACCCAGTTGATCATCCATGTAAGTGACAGTGCTCAATGAATCTTCTTCCACAGCTTTGTATAGCTAGCACTAAGGTCACATTCTTTCCATCTGTGTAATCTTTATCTCCAGATGATCTAATTAATACCTGGCAAGGATTATCATAATCAGTGCTCGCTGGTGAAGAAATTGCATAACTCAATTTATTATTGCACTGTTTAACACTAATCCATCCTGGCTTGGTGAGATAGAAGACCTTATCTCTCCTGTCTGCACAGGTTCCCTATTAAACAGTTGTGGGTTGTATGCATTTTTGATGTTAGCGAATGTGCCATACACTTGTGGACGTTAAATTCTATCAGTCTCTGTTTTTTCTTTGCCCCAATCCCATTGCAATTTTCTTTATTCAAAACAAGTCAGTATATTACTTTTTTTTGTTATTGTTGTAAATTCTGACTCCATCTATGGGGATCTAGCAGCTTATTTAATAGGCTTTATCTCAGTCTATCTATTTCATGAGTAGAGAAATGTCAAGGTGGAAGTTCTGCTTTTTAATGAGGTTTCTGTTGGGCAAATGTGAGACAGTCATACTTTTTCTGTCATAACTGTGTCTCCATAAAAAAATTAGGTGGAGTGTAGTCTGTTATATATTTAGCATGTACCCTCTGCATTTTGAAGTCCAGCATTTGTTAGCACTACCACACCTTAGATAAAACCAAACAATAGATCCACCAGTTCTGGATTACGGAAAACAGGATGAATAGTTTATCCATAACAATTTGGGTGTTTTATTAGGATTGCTGGAACTGAATTTTGTCAGTTTGTAACTTTGCAATGTGTACTACATCCTGCACCCTGGCCAAACAGCACCAATTCTGATCCAGAGTATTATTTAATTAGCCAGTGCAATGCTTCTGGTTGTCTAAAATATGCCAGAAACTGCTCCATTTAATTGTGTATGATTAATTAAAGCTCACCATTGTTGCTATATTCCTGTTCCTGTTTGGCTGTGTTGCCAGATTAGCAATCCACAGGCAAACCACTGCAGATACTGGAAAACTAGAGCAAAAACAAAAAAAAAAGTTAGAAATACTCAAGAGGTGCAGCAGCATCTGAGGAGAGACAGAGTGAACGTTTCAGGTCATTTGCTTATCATCAGAACGTGGTGTGTCACTCGGAATTATTAACTTTCTCTCTCAGCATGAATAACATTCAAAACTCAAGATAAAATCCAGTCAAAGCTTGTTGGGTGCCCCATTAAAACTGCAGTAACTTGGCAAGGCTTCTTTGACAGTATTTGCCAAATACATAACCACACCAGTTAAGGACAAGGGCACACAACCTGCACGTCACATAGCATGCTGACTTGGAACTATATCGCTGTTGCTTCACCTGGAGCCAACCTACCTTACAACACTGGGAGTACCTACACATGGATTGCAGCAGTGCTTAAAGATGGTTCACCATCACCTTCTGAAAGGCAATTATGGATGGGCCACAAATGCTGGCCTTGCCAGTGACCCCCACATACTATGTTTTATAATGAATATAATAAATTTTAAAATATCAGCCTTTGTACCATCCTGAGCTGTCACACCAACATTCTCGTAGAAACGAAAAGTAGGTGATTTGGCCTTTGAGCCTGTTTTGCCATTCAATATGATCATGGCTGAGCCTCTGTCTCGACACTATCCCTCGTTTGTTTTCAGGCCAAAGACTCTTTCAGAGAAAAGACTCATTGTGGCATCAAAGAGGTGTTTGTCCACTCTCAGGACCTTTAGCGAGAAGGCGATTCCTGTCACTGATAAGGCTGTCAGTCAGAGTTGCTCAAACAGACTCGAGTAGCAGAGCAGTCACATATCTAAGGCACCTCCTTATGGAGATAATTGTATCATTAGAGTCACAGCATAGAAACAGACCCTTCGGCTCAACTTGACCACGCTGACCAAGTTTCCCAAACTAAACTAGTTCCACTTACCTGCGTTTGGCCCATATCCCTCTTAAACCTTCCCTTTTCATGTACTTGTCCAGATGTCTTTTTAACATAACTGTAGCTGCATCATCCGCTTCCTCTGACAGTTCATTCCACACTTGACCCACCCTCTGTGTGGAAAGGTAGCCGCTCCGATCCCTTTTAAATCTTCCTCATCTCACCTTAAAAAATATGCCCCCTAGTTTTGAACTCCCCCCACCCTAGGGAAAGGACCTTCGCTATTAACCTTATCTATGCCCCTCATGATTTTGTAAACCTCTATAAGGTCACCCCTCCACCTCCTACAAGAATGGTGAAAACCTAGGGAGAGGAACAGTGAGACAGAGAGGGGGAGGGGTCAGAGAGACCAGGGAGAGAAACAGGCAACTGAGAAAGAAGTGCAGACAGAGAGAAAGAAAAACCCAGGGAGAGACAGAGAAGGACAGACAAGATAGATACTGTATGGTACAATGAGCAGTAGGAAAATAATCTCATTGAAAAACTTCCTTTATATATTTCACGTAAAGTAGCTTTTGTTTCTCTCTTGGTTTACCTTATCACAATCATTTTCATTCCACCTTACATGTGGTAAAGCGTGGGAATTGTAGTATCATGGGCAAATAAAAGGTGGCCTTTGTCACATTTCATGGGTTTCACAATTGTTTAGTAGGGGGCTGTCGGAGTTCACACCAGGTCATGTGTAATGTGAGGCCCCACTTTGAGAGTGATCAGTCACACAAAACAATGGAGAAGATTTAGTCTGAACAGTACATTCCATTTCTGAAGTATCCGGAACCACTAGTGAAGAGTGAATGGTGGTTTCCCCTCCAGCTGAATTGTTGTCTGTTGTTCTTGCCAGATTTCTACACTCCGACAATGATCGGGTTAAAGACAGATCAACAGGTCCTGTCACAGCTGGTGAAGATGAAGGTCCCTGCAGTGGCTGCATTAATGGAAAAACACAATGTGATGTGGACGTTGGTTGTGGGGCGATGGTTCATCTGTTTGTTTATTGACATTCTCCCTGTGGAGGTAAGTCCTTTGGACAGAGAGTCCTAGCCCTCCTATATTACTATTGCTAACACCATTAATGGTTTTACAAACCTCCCCACCTTGTGTCTGCTTTCCTATAATTTTGATTTCTTCCCAAGTTATTGCTGTGTCTTTTAAACTCACCATTCTTTATGACTTATGGTATGTTAACTGTATGCAATAATTAAGAAATTGGTCCCAAATATGGTTGTATATCTAAATCAGTCTTAGAGATTTAGCCGGAGAGGCTAAAGTGTCATTGGTTCCAGATGACAAGTGACCAATTCTCCTGATCTGCCCTCATCCACTGGTCTTGAACCAGCTATAGTAACTAAATCCAATCTGCTTGCCCTTTACATGATGATTTGACTGTTGTTGGATTCATTATTTAACCTGCATGATGCCCAGACCTCCCAATTTCTTTAACAGGCTGTAAGTGGGGAGCAATAATGTTTGAAATGGTGTAAAAAGTTGACGGTAAATTTTCCAGAGAATGGTGCCACCGAGTGTGTAGATGGGGTAAATGCTGTCAGTATTTCTATAATCACGGGCTGCTTCTCAAAGCTGTCAGTCCTATCCTACTGCAGCCTGCCAAGGCTGTACAAGGAAGTGAGGAATGAGAACCTTGATGCGATAGCAGCAGTCCCTAGCGGTTGCTCCGTCACGTGGAACAGCTCCTTTTGGCATGTTTAGTTCATGGATCCCTTGCAATTAGGGGGAGATTAGCTCATTCTGCATGAGGATTTAAGGTCAATTAGTCGGATGATGAGACCTAACTTAGCTGGGGTATGGGAACTAAGACACAATAGTAACGGAGAACACCAGGGTTCACAAAATACTTGGTAGAAGCAACTGGCACTAGCATAGAGAATAGCAAGTTAATAGGTGAGATCAGAGCAATGGAGAAAGAAACAAAAGTCTAAAGGAGAATTACTGTGCATGTATGTGAATGCACTGACTGTAGTAAATATGATTGGGCAGTTAAAGATACAGATTGCCATGTAGATATAGGATGATGTGGTAGTAATAGAGAGCTAACCCAAGGAAGGGTGAGACTAGCAGTTAAATATTTCAGTTTGAAGTGTTTAGACAAGGAAGAGGGTGGAGATCTTAGTTTAAGAGAGCATTGCAATGCTGGACAAAGGGGATGTCACAAAGGGCTCAAGAACAAAATCAATTTGGTAGAGCTAAGGAACTGAAAGGATACAGTTACATTGCATCATGTAGTCTATAGACCACCTACTGGGAAGGATGTGGAAGAACAAATTTGCAGGGAAATTAGAAAGAGAGGCTAACATTATAGAGTATTTATAATGGGAGACTTCACTTATTAGTAGTGTAGAGAGCAACAATGGCCAAGTGTTCCTTGATTACGTGCAGGAGAGCTTCCTAAAGAATTACATGTCCAGTCCAAAAAGAGTAATAAGTCTGTAGAGTTTGTATTGCAGAGGACAGGGGAGATTAAGCTGTTAAGTATATTCAAAGCTGAGATCAACAGATCCCTAATGATTAAGGGGAATCAAGGGTCGTGGGGAAAAGGCTGGAATTGGAGTTCAGGATTATCAGATCAGCCATGATCTTTTTGAATGATGGAGTAGACTTGATGTGCTTAATGGCCTACTTGTGCTCCAGTGTCTTTTTTTCCTTCCAGAATGGTTGCACTTTTAGACCAGACTCTTGGAAATGAGGAAAGGCCAAGTGGATCAAGGGTCAATGGGACAACATTTAGGACACAGCGATAGTTGTGTTGTAAGGTTCAGGATGAATTGAATTAGTTTTATTGTCACATGTACTCAAATGAGTACAGTGAAAAGTTTGTCATCACTTACAGCGCCATCTTGGGTACCTGGGTACAATCCTTAGTTAGAGAATAGAGAAATGAAGGAGAAAAAAAAGTTACATTGTGGCTATACACAGTATGACCATAAATCAGAAAAACAAGAAGAAAAGTTTAAAAAGACAAACATTACAGTCTCTCTCCAAAAGCTGTCAGCTGTAGACCTGCGCAAGGGGCCTCTGTGTGGTTTGACCGCTGGCTACCCACCGTGCTTTGTACTAGGCCGCTGCTGCCATGATCCGCACTGGGCTACTGGCACCCCCACTGTGGCCGTTGTTCACTGGTGTCCCTGCTTCGGGCTACCAGTCACACGGTGGTGTTGGAAAATGATACTTCATAATCCAGAGTGAGAAAAATCAGTTGGTGGAGAGCGGAGTCTAATGGGGCAAGAACTGAGCTGGACACAATTGGCTACATTCAGAGATTGGTGGGAAAATTAGTAACGGAACAATGGGCTATCTTCAAACAGGTGGTGATTCAGATCCAGTTGTGGTATATTCCCTCAAATGGGGAAAGGTAGGACAATCAAATCTGAGGGGAGGTGTTTAAAAAAAAAAAAAAAGCCAATAGGAGAAACAAAGAGGAATTATGAGAAAAGACTGGCAGCCAACATAAAGGAATCTTTTATTGGCATACATGACTTCATAAAATCCCTACAGTATGGAAACAGGCCATTCGGCCCAAAAGTCGTACTGACCCTCTGGAGAGCATCCCACCCAGACTCATTCCCTTGCCCTATCCCTGTAACCCTGCATTTCCCATGGCTAATCCACCTAATCTACGCATCCCTCAACTCTATGGGCAATTTAGCATGGCCAATCCACTTAACCTGGTGGACTGTGGGAAGAAACCGGAGCACCCAGAGAAAACTCATGCAGCCACGGGAGAATGTGAAAACTCCACACAGACAGACACCCAAGGCTGGAATAAATAGCAAAACAGTGGTAAAAGGAAGAGGTAGGTCAGATTAGGGGCCAAAAAGAAGATTAATGGAGGCAGGTGTTAAGTGAAAACCTTGCATCTGTCTTTAGTAAAGAGATGCTACCCAGGTCATTGTAATTGAAGAGGAAACTGTGTCACTAGAATGGTTTAAAATTGATAAGGAAGAAGTGCTTGAAAACTTGGTACTTAGAATTGACTGGGAACCAGGACTGAATGAAATGAATCCAAGGATTTTGAAAGATATGAGAATGGGAAATCGGGCAATACTCCTCCAGTCTTCCCCGGACTCTGGGGAGGTGTGAGAAGACTGGAGAGTTACAAACGTTACAGCCTTGTTAAAGTTTCTCAGGATAATCCTAGCAATTACAGACTGGTCAGTTTGATGTCACTGGTGGGCAAACCTCTAGAAACAGTTTTTGAGGATAGAATTTGTAGTCACATGGAAAAAGTTGGTTTGATTAGGAAGAGTCAGCATGGATTTCTAAAGAGGAAGCCACCTTTAACTAAATTGGAGTTTTTTTCTGAAGAAGTAACAGAAAGACTGCATGAGGTTAACACCCTTAATGTGATGTATATTAGTTGCCAGAACGCATTCGATGCAGAACCACACAGCAGACTCGAGGCAAATTTTAGATCATGGAATAAAAGGATCTGTAGCAACATGGATACAAAACTGGCTGAATGTTAGGAAACACTGGAGGAAGGTTTGTAATGGAATTCCTCAGAAGTTTATACTAGGACCCTTGCTTTTCCTGATAGATATTAATGATCTAGATCTTGGTAGGCAAGGAGCAGCGTCAAAGTTTGCAGATGACACAAAACTGGAAGAATTGTAAACTGTGAGGAGGACTGTGTCGAATTCCAGAAGGATATAGACGAGTTCATGGAATGGGCCAATTCATAACTTGCAAATGAAGCAAAGGTGTAATTTAAAAAAAGCTTTTTCACACAGTGAATAGTTAAGGTATGGAATGCACTGCCTGAAAATGCTGTGAGGTCCGGTTTAACTGAGGTATTCAAGAGGGCATTGGATGATTATTTGGATAAACGTAATGCACAATATATAATGTGAAAGCATGAGACTAGCACTATGTAATGGTGCTCATTTGGAGAGCTAGTATATGCACGATGTGCTGAATGGCCACTACGTTTGCCATAAGATTTATGTGATTCTGTGAAACAATGTGCACTCGTATGAGCAGCTATGGTTCCCTTTGTAGGATTGTCTTCAGTGCTACTTGTAGTGAAGGGTAGCATCCTGACTGAATTTGTAGGAGCCCAACTGGTCCATTCTTGGTGTTCTGCTGTACCCGAGACTTCTCCTCCCACATCTCTTCACTTCTCCCCATGTGCATCAAGTCTCCTGAGATATGCATCAGTGCTATCTTCTTCCATGTGACAGTGACTCCACATTTCTTCCACTTTCCTGTAAAGGAATTCCAAACTGTATGTATGTTTCCGGTACTCCCTTGGCTATCTACATATGTGTGCAGGGAGTACTCCTGCAAAGTTGTGGTTGAGTTCCTGAGATTTAGAATTTTAAATGAAGCAATTTTCAGGAAGACCATAAGAAATAGGAACAGGAGTAATGCCTTTAGGCCTCTTGAGTCTGTTCCCTGTCAATGGGATCATTACTGATGTACCATTCCTCCACTTTGCCCTTTTCCCATAACACTCAATCCTCCGACTGATCAAGGAACTATCTATGTCAGACTTAAATGTACACATGGATTCTGCCCTCACAGCTCTGTCTTTAAAATTCTTTGCCACATTCAACTGTTTGAGAGAAGAAATTCTTCCTCATCTTAGTCTTAAATTGATGCCCCTTTATTCTGATACTATCCCCTCTGGTTCTAGACTGTCTCATGAGGAAAAGCTCTCGGCACTTATCCTGTCAAGTCCCTTTATAATCTTATCATTCAATGAGATCACCTATCAGTCTTCTAAACTCCAGTGAGTACAGTCTGACCTGTTTAGCCTTTACTCATAAGACAATTCCTCCACAACAGGGATCATCTTAGTGAACCTTTTTTGAATTGTCTCCAATGAAATGATATCTTTCCTTAAATAAGATGACTAAAACTGCTCACAGTATTGCAGATGTGGTCTCACCATCACCTTGTACAGTTGCAGTAAGACTTTCCTGCTATTGTCCTCCACCATTAGCCTCCTTGACTTCCTGCCACACCTATGTGTTAACTTTGTGTTTTGTGCTCACGTCCCTTTTTGAGTTGCAGCTTTCTAGTTTTTCTCTATTTAATTAATATTCTGTTCTTTTGTTCTCCCTTCCAAAATAAACAACATTGCACTTGTCTACATTATTCTCCATTTTGACAACTTCTTTTTGCCCACTTAACCTATCAGTTTCTCTCTGTAAACTGTTTGTATTTCTCTCTCAATCTGCCTTTCCACCTATTTTTGTGTCATCTGCAAATTTGGCTACAGTACATTCACTTCCTTCCTCCAATTCATTAACATATGTTGTAAACAGTTGCAGTTCCAGCTCTGATCTTTGTGGAGCTTCACTGGTTATAGGCTGCCAACCTGAAAAAGAATTCCTTATCCCTACTCACCGTTTCCTGCCCGTTAGCCAGTTCTCAGTCCACACCAATATATTATGTCCTACACCATGGGCTCTTATGTTATGATTTAACCTTTTGTGAGATACTTTGTCAAATATCTTCTTGAAGTGCAAATACAACATATCTATTGGTTTCCCTGTATCCACTCTAGTTTAAATTTCCTCAAAAAAATTAGACAAGATTACTCCACATACCCCAAGATCCTACCATCCTCTTGCTGCTTAAGAATCTATCTCCTCAGGTTTAAAAATGTTCATAACTTCCAGTTCCACTGCCTGTTTGAGGAAGAGTGTTACAAAGATTTGTGACTCTCTAAGGAATATAAAAAAAATTATCCTCACCTCTGTCTTAAATAGACAACTGTTTACTTTGAAACAATGACCCCAATTCTGTGTCCTGAGAGCAGGCAGGCCACACAGGTCATCTGTAGGAAACAGCATTAAACCAAAACCCTCAATGTTAAACAAATACATTGACACTACTTTACTAATAACACTGAAGTGAAATACCATTGTAATTTAGCTTCAAACAGAAACTTACTGTATCATGTACGGTGTGATCTTCTAACACTTTAACAAGTAAGGGGCCTTTAAAAATTAAACTAAAAAGGTATTTGTTTTAGCTTTGTTATCTTCATTTCTGCTATTTTACCATAAACAAGAGGGATCAAGGTTTCAGATCTGATGATGGTCATTGACCTGAAACAATGTTTCTTCTTTCCATAAATGCAGCCTTACTTGTTATTTCCAGCATTTTTGTTTTTGTTGTTATAGGTCACCTTGAATAAAATACGTCAGTCAGCCTTTAAAACCATTGCCTCAATCAAATCAGGTCAAGACAAATGGCATGTTTGTTACCATTGTTGGATCATTCTCGATGCAAGCAGATGGTATATCAAAACCAGCTAATCTGCAATCTCAGCCAGAGTGATCTGACAGAAATGCACTCTACTTAATTTGATTGGCTGCCTGACTAAATATTCCCCGAGTTAAAGGTCAGGTAATAAACTGGCTGGGGGGTAAGTTTTTTTTTTAAAAAAAATTGTAAGGATTCACATGCAGATCATTTTAGTGGAAATCCTCTTAGGACCAAGGATCAGATTGACTTCCCCGTTAAAGAAATAGGGTGCTAATGGTTGACCAGTTGAAAAGGATGCTTGGAAAGATACACAATCAGTACTGTAAGAAAAAGGGTTTGTAGAGAGATAATCTACTTGAGAATTGTATCTTTGAAACCTGAAGCAGTTGTCCGAGAGGATCCCTGACTTAATCTGCATGCATAAACAGTTGCTTGTTGTGGGACTGTGTAGTTACATATTGTCACATGTTCACAAAAAATGAGTTTTGTGTTTGAGAGTCATAACTTTGTACTGAAAACTTTCACATTTAAATATAATTATCCTGTTTTAAATTCTCTTAATTTTATATTGCTTTTGATTTGTGTTGGAGTAAATATTACAAAAAGTGAAATCTTGCTGGCAGTTTCTTTATTTGAAGATCATTCAATAAATTTTAGTTTATTTTGGTTTACAGTTTCTCCATGGGATCCTCATTACATTTAACTCTATCACACACCAGAACAAAAACTCATAAGTCATTATGAATTGCAATTTTCTAAACAAAAAGCTTCAATGGTCCTTTAACAATTGCACCATAAACTGATTTGTAGCTTTTTATATGCCTCATCTCCTTAAAGTATAAATCAGTAGATTGGAAGAGAATACCTATATTCTCTCGGTAACCAGTCCACACAAAAAAAGATTTGCAATGTTATCAGTCTTGGTTGCATTAGTTTATCAATAAATATTAGGTAGTAAAGATAGAGGCACAATCATAATGGACACAATATTCATTTACAGGACTGGCTGATGCTGAGCCTAGGACAGACTGTGAACAAATTTGTAATAGTTCATTAATAATTTAATAATGACTGAAATCTGTTAGGGTCTTTGCTGAAACTGCTGCAGCGTTTACCACTTACTCCATCTGAGACCTCCACATGCCTTATCACCTTATGCATGGACTTGAAGTTGCAGGAAATGTCCAGATTTTGCTGCTTAAAACAAGCTCCCAATTAGCCAGTTGAAGTGTTCTGGCTGAGTAAATAGTGCAATGTCTCTGTGCTATCAGTAGTCAACTGAAACATTTCAAATTATGGGCTTTGGGGCACCTTTGCCTCTGTCCAGTATCACCAAGCTTCTTGGAAAACTCCTGCTGTCATTACTCAGTTATGCGTGCCTATCTTTTCTTGAATTACCCTTGACCTCAGTGGAAAACCAGCAAGATCTGAAATCTGGCATGCCAGCTTGGCAGATTTGAGACAGTAAATGCATAACCAATAGTAAAGAAATCTTGCCTTTTCTGTAGTTGCTCCTTTGCTGTGTAATTAACCGCAAAGCTTTGCTTTCCTTATCTGTCTTACCCATTTTTAAAGAATAACTTGTGCAATTTTGCAATCCCATTCCATCTTTTGTTTTCCACAATGTAATATATTGGGAAATGTTTCTTTATCTTAGACAGTTCTTCGGATTTGGGACTGTCTGTTCTATGAAGGATCTAAAATCACCTTTCGTGTGGCCTTGACGTTAATAAAGTACCACCAGGCTTCCATTTTAGAAGCTAACAGTTTCCCTGCCATCTGTGAGAAATTCAAAGAAATCACACGTGGGTCTGTGGTCGAAGACTGCCACGTCTTTATGCAGGTGAGTTTGTTCTTTCTGGAAGTTGTGAAGACAAACATTGTCCAGGATTATTGGAATGTTGATTGAACAAAATGTCACATTTCACCTGAAAATTAATTGTTACAATGAGCCTTTTCCATTGAGTGTGTGGGTGCAGGGATTGGATTGAACAGCTTATGTTCACCTTTTAGCAGAGGGAAGTATCCCAAAGTGTGTTATTCTGGCATACTGCAATAATATTCAGGACAGAAGGAGATGTTAGGATTATAACCATAGGTATTCACCATTCCATATTCAACAATGAAGAATACAACACAAGCAGATTGCTCAGTCCTTTCAGTTGGTTCTACTGTCAGAAGGTTAGGACCATCACTGAGCTTATAGGCCAAGAGCCAAAGTGTCCATATTGTGTTTGATTCTCACAGCCATCAACATTTATAAATGCAGGTCCTCAGAGCTTGCCTATGACTGTCAATTCATAGTAAATTGTGGGTGAAAAGTAAGATGACTTAGATATGAGATTGAATGAAAGCCGGAGAAAGATGCTTTACACAAGGGTTGTGAGGCTGTGGAGAGCAGAAGGATATTTCTGGGGTCACCCTACCATTGAAAGGATATTATTAAACTAGAAAGAGTGCAGCAAAGATTGACTAGAATACTACCGAGACCGGAAGGTTTGAATTATAAGGAGAGCTTGGTTAGGGTGGGACTTTTCTCCTGGAGTGTAGGAGATTAAGGGGTGACCTCTTAGAGGTCTATAAAATCTTACAGGCAACAGCTTTTCCCTATGATAGGGGAGTCTAAAACTAGAGAGCATAGATTTAAGGTGAGAGGAGAGAGATACAAAAGGGTGAGAGGGGCAGTTTTTTCGCACAGAGGGTAGTGACTGTCTGGAATGGGATGCAGAGTGGTTGAAGCAAGTACAATTTTGTCTTTTAAGAAACATTTACACAGGTACGTAGATGGCATGGATATGGTGGAACGTGAATCAAACACAGGCAAATGAGACTAGTTTAATTGTGAAAACTAGGTGCAAGGGCAAGTTGGGCTGAAGGGCTTGTTTCCATGCTATAGACCTCTATGATTCTGTTTATAGATCATGTAGGCGATGGGGAAATGTTTAGAAAGAGACTACATACAATTAGGTTGCTGCTCATGAAGAATAAACTGCACTGTGGACGAGTTGGACTGAATAGCCTCATTACAAAATCGGTACTTCTGTACTAAATGTCAGTAAAGACATTTAAAAGTTTGAATTTTGAAACGGTGGATAATCGGCCAGAGACCCAGTTACTGCCCAGTTTTAGCTGAGGTGAATGATCTTGTCCTCTGCCACAATGTCCCCATAATTCTACATGTCTCAGACAAGGAAATGTTGGATCAAAATAATAAAATGATGGAAACTCTGAGCAACAGCTGTGGCGAGTGAAAGTGTTCTTATTTCAGGTCATGGCCTT